AAATCGATTTCGCCAAGAACCATGCTTTCCAAACTAAAATCATAGATTACGGCTAAGTTTCCTAACTGTGTTCTCTGTCAAGTTAAATATATTTTTCGTCTGTCCATGGACAGAGTACTCGCCAAACATCTTTTTTTTTCTTAGAAAAAACGCAGTCATTCTGGAAATGTTTTCTATGGACCGTGTTTGGTGAATTCTACTTGAAGAAACTCGAAAGTTATCGAACGCAGGCAAACATGTATCAATCCCGAGAAACCCGTAAGTTTCCGCACGCCGTATACATTTTTCTACTGCTACTCACCGAATTATTTTCCGGGGCAATAGCACCCAAAAGCACCACGCTCAGTCCTCAAATAGTCTTCGTTCTTTGCTCCATAGCTGCAATACGCTAAAGATGTCCTTCACATAATTAACTAGTCTTATTTAGACATGATGCCCTTATTCTGATACAGATAATTGATGTCCGGCTAAGGAGGGGTTTCAACTGCATACAGCTTTTATTGACCGATCTTAAATTAAAGTTAAATAAAATTGGTTCAGGTAAAAATACTCATTTGAATGTTAGTTACATGCTATCGTAGACTGAGCCTGTACGCTTTGAACGGTCGGCTGCGTAAAAATTGTGGCTTGCTATAGATTGCCATCATTTATATGCCTCATTGTCTTCTCCATTGCACTAAGATCTCCGTTGAACATGCCTTTTCATCAGGTAAATTATTCAGTCTTGTAAAACGTTATGCACAATTCTACGGAGTGATTAATGATAATAGATTGGTCGTTAGAGAATGAGCGCTTGAGCGATAAAGCGTATAAATTACTTATCGCTAGATTATAAACGCGATATATAAAGCAGTCGCTGCACGTACCGTTATTCGATTGAGTTGGGTAAACAGCCAAAAGACACAAGACAATAATAAATTCGAATTATGTAGACCCTTTATCAGCGCCTATGGGTACCCGCTTTGCTTATAGCAGTAACTAATAGATAGGATGCCAGGTACTGTCAATGTAAGACGTCGGCTTAGCATACATTTGTGTTATAGACAATAGAACTGATAAAGAAAATTGCCGTTTTATCTATCTGATATATCTGCTCTTAAGTTATTCGAATTAGAACCTGCCACGTCGTATATGGCAACGTTATAGTAAGCCCGGTTTTTTCAAATAGTCTATATTCGCTCACTGTAAGTTTTGCTACCTCTGCCTGAATACGCTCTACATAAATGTTGCAGATAGGCCATATTCCATAAAAGTCGACTACATTAGCTTAGATAAATCATAAGTCAGAAACACAACACGGCTTTGGAGTGATTTTAGTTACGGCTAAGTAAAGATGCAGTATCAACATTACGTTTTCTACCAAAGGTGTCATCTGAAGGAAATTAGCCTCGAAAATAGGAGACAATTACATTGAGCATTGCTCAGTGATGCGGATATCAGGATCGGCCAGAGACATACAATTTTACAAATGGTATTTGTTTTTACGTAGTGCATATATATAGGGTTGCTTTGCAATAAAACATACTTTTTCCCTCCATTTTTATTCTAGCCCTTGGGGCCAGACATTAAAATTGGCTTTTGTTTGCTACTGTTGCCACGGTTGTTGTTACTATGATACTAAATAGACTGGGAAAAGGGAACATCAGGCAGAACTTAGTGTCACTATCATCTTGGCTCCATTCCTTGTTTCGAAATGGCTGCTATTTCTGCCCAGGTCACTCCTGACTGCTAGTCTTTACCCGCGTAATTTGATGTCTACTTTATTTAGTTATATATTAGTTTTACTTCAAACTGCCTTTGCTGAACAAATACTTTTACTACTTTCTTTACTATTAATGCCATTTAGCAAAATCGCGCGATGCTTACAACAGCTTCATGTGAACTTTCGGCGGGACGAAAAACACCTCGAGTATAAAAACGTACGATAACTTGTTGTTGCGAAGGTCGGTATTGGCTCGCATCTTCTTTCCATTAGAATGTGTAGTTAACTCTTGAATATATCCAAATAATATACCACTATATATGCTTGGCTAATACCCGCCACTAGCTTTCTCAAGTCATAACTAACTTGGATCCATATCGGCCGGTCTTAGTAACTTTGAAGAAGTTTCAAATTTCGTGTGTAGCAATAGTTTCTTTTGCTCTTGCTCGTTGAATGCTGAAATCAAATGGGGAGCTCGCTATGAAGTAAATTGATTACTAAATATAAAAGTTATTTGTAGTCCGCAGTTTACTTTCCTTAGCGCGATCTCCCCTAGAAGTATTCCTAACTTCCTAGTCCCTATAATTTCAAAAGTCAGTTTCAACTTAATCGCGTAAATTGCGGCGCGCACCATCCGATTGCTCGGATAGTGTTGCCTTCTCAGTAGGCTGCTTGTCCTTCCGGCAAGGACTTTGCCGTTCTGTCATTCATAAAAATTGTGGGTGCAAACAGCGTTCTATTTTGATGGACCTAATCACGAAACACCAGCGCAGCTCCTACTACTACTGTGATCTGCTGGAGTCGCCCACACACTTTCCGCTATCAGCCACTCCCTCCATCCGTGAAAAGCGCCCCCAGGGTCCCTGTCTTCACATGATGAATGCCCATTCGATGTCAGCGGGCAATATACTGATGAGTTAGTTGCTCGGATGGCAGCAAAAGCTTCAGAGCGACACATCGCTGGGTTCCTGAAGGCTAACTTGCACGGCCGGAGCTTCGAGGACATCCGAACAGGGTACCCGACACGCGGCGAAAAAAGCTATCGTAGTTTTCACTTCACGCTTCGTTCACGCAGAACCGTCACTGATCAGAATAGCTTTGTCAATACAACTACAACTAATATCAGTGGGTTAATGAAATACAGTCAACGCATGATAATATTTGGGGACGGCTGGGTAACACCGAATGCGGACGCCACGTACCGCGGCTTCTAGAATTTAGGAAAATACCTAGTAATCTTAATTAATAATAAGACTAGTAATGAAATAATAATGTTATTTATGCGAAACCTCTAGTGCTCAACATCAATAGGCTATAGATTTGCAGTTTTTAGGAAATGGAAGCCCAACAGAGACGAAGGTTCAAGCACTAATTAGAGTCATGTCATTATAAAATATATAAACAAAGAACTTAAGCGATGATTTCTGCTAGAACGAGCATTCGTTCAGATGACATTGACGACCGACTGTACACTTGTTGGACCTGTCCTTTAATTAATTTACATTGTAAAACTATATAATTAACACATTTCTTTAACCTAGCTCTGATGAGTCATACTAAATGGGAACTTGGGATTCAGACCAAGAAATAGGTAAACCAAGCATAGAATATTATAAGAGTATTAAATATACGAGTCCTAGCTCTGTCCACATCAGAACTGCTCATCTTTTCTCCTAACATTGCTGGGTAAAATGTTCTATAACGCCACCTGATTTCAAATTGCATCCTAAAACATGGTCAGCACCTTAATTTGGGTGATACCGCTTATATCCAATGCAGGTGCAGCGTATGCCTGAGGAGAATTTTTGCAGATTTTTCCGGTTTTTTTTTTAGCGATTATGTCCCATGGTCTTGAATAGTGATATCGGATTGGCTGCCTACTATATTTTTCGGCATATATGCTAAAACTGTGAATCTGTTGATAACTATAAACAACTTCGGGATTTGCACGATGTAAGTTTATCTCATGTGAAGAATGGCATTAATTAGAATTACGATTATTTCTTCCTAAGAAATTTTGCTCTGCAACTTTGTATCAGCTACAAGGGTACCATTGTGCCTATGTGACACATAAGACCCTCAGCTTAGACACATAAGATCGTCAGCTTATGTAACTAGTTTTATATACAGTTATTATCAAAAAATAAAAAATATTCTCACTTGTCAAATTCACACTTTGAAATTACGTTAGTCTTCGGTTTATCAGCTGCGTACTCCTCCGGCCGGAACCCCAACATATACCCCAAAAATACTCGTATTCAATTGTCGATCGAAACAAAACTACTAGTCTTGTTGTTCTGTCTGTCATAAATTTTTAAACGTTTAGGAGAGTCATCTATAAAAATATGTTGACACATATAAATGACGAAAAGGTGAACTGGCAAATAATGATACGTATATAATAATGATATATGATGTAATATAATATATAAAATAAGTTACTTATTAGAGTAATGTGGCGCCGTCCCTTTCGAGGCCACTTTGGGCAATGCCAGGATCACATTGGCGTTTTTACTTCATGCAGATACAATCAGACAGACAGCTTTGTAGATACCTGCCCTGATTATGTTTTAGTAAATGTATTTCTGACACTTCCTGAAAAGCTGAGCAATAAAATGAATAAAAAAAAACGAAATTCAATTGGCAATAGCAGTTATGCTTCTTTTGTAGTAGAGGTATCATTAGCGGATGGTACTCAATTTTTAAATGTACCCGAATTACTAGTAAGTAAATAATTAGGTACCTCGTACGAAATACTTGGTACCGAGTCTCAGGTTTTGTAATTTCTTCTTGCACCCAGCGATTCCTTGTCGGTCTGGATCAGCCGAACCCTAGCGTGTCAAGTCGTCGGTTGCACTTATATTTTGAAGGGCAGCGCTGAAAAATCTAGAAGAAATGCTAACTAAATCGCTAAACTAAAAACTAAACTAAAAAAAAAAAGTTGTTTTTCAATTTCTTCTTTTATCTTGAAGGCCTTCAATCGAGTGGCCTAACCGCAAATATCGTTGAACAATTTGTAAAAGCTGTTGACCTAAGTAAATGTTTAGCGTTCTACGTCCGGTACTGCCGTGAGGCCTTTCAGACAGCTGGCTCCTAGCACCAAACGAAGTTTATGGATTTAAACCCAACCAAACCACGTGTCCCCTAAGTTAATAAGCAAACATCTTCCCAGTAAGCCATCGCGGAGACGAGGGTTGTTTGTCTATCTGTGCTCATCTTCCCACACCGAGAAAATCTTTTACTGCGTGTAGCTAACCAGATGCTTGCATGATCAATGAAAACTTTCGAACGTGTTCGAACCGTACGTTTTATTTAACTTGATCTATTAGGACATTCAGAATTTGCGTTTTGAATTAGTATAATATACAACTGTTTGTGGTAGCCTATATAAGTGCGCCGCATTTCCTTTCTCATAGTAGATTTCCATGTCTAGGTCTTCCTTAAAAGTCAAATTTTTATTCAAGATCCTTTAAAATGATCTGAACACATTTTGTCAATTTCTACCCTTCTAAGATCTTCCTTTGACGCTCTTGCCGCAAATTCGCTCCATGAAGCTACCGTTTCATCGTTATCCTGAATGGCAGACATGGTACGCTCGCGCGTCTCCAGGATATCATTTGTGAGTGTCTCGAGAGCCGAACGAATCAGTGGGAAACGACTAAGAACCTGTAATTCAGCGAAGACAAAACGGCTAATTATCAAGTATTTCCACGAAATAATAGGGATATTATTTGAGTGAAGAATTAAGCCTATTTTTTAGCGAACATCCGTTATTTGGAGAGCTAAAGTTTGTCAGAAGTTACAAAGTATCAATTATAAACCATAGTAAACTAACACGACATTTTATTTATTTATTAATTATTATTAAGTTATTTAATTATGCAAATTGATTTTTTTCAATTGACTACTTCGAAAAATGGCGTGACCCCATTTAGCATTTGGTTTCACTGCTCTACACCGTCACGCGTCACGGTCATCCTCGCAATGGTTGATCGATCACACACATGGTGGTCCCGTCACCTAACATCCCAGTAACAATACCCTGTTGGCCGGTAAAACAAATAGTAGGCCAAACATCTTTTTCTTGACATGGGCATTTGTTGTTGCTTTGATGTATTTTATGCTATTATTGTTAACATTCGTTGTTATTCCAAGCGTTAACAAGCTAGCTGCCTTATCTATTCTTGTTGCCGGATTATCAAGCGTGTCACGATGTCGAAACTGTTGGTAGTAAAAACGGGTTGAAAACAACGTTTATTAGAGACGGCTGAACAGCTTCTACAGTGGCATTTGGCTTGCGGGATACGATGTATACTGAATCGTATGTCCAAAGGCCGGGAGACCTCATAGTCTTCGAGTGGTGGAACAATAGCATTAAAAATGGCACAAGCGGTGAATAGGTGAGAATCAGAGATAAATAGCTTTGTTGCAGAAAATACAATGACGTGCGAATATCCGTGTCTCTGGCGTGACGTAGTGCCCGATGAGGGCATGAAATAACCGTATGCGTTCAATACCCTCTTTCAAAAAGAACCAAAATAATTAGACGGTGAGGAGCTTATCATATGACCAGCGTCACAACAGTAAGTTAATTGGGAGGGATCGTGAATCGCTATTGTTCCTTCACACTTCTGAATCGAAGTAATATACCATATCAGAATCCAAAGTGTTTCTCAAATGTTTGTAACGATTGTCTACTGAAATTCAGGACGAGTCCTTTCAGAAAGGATTCTATAGTTATTAAGCGACAGATGCATCAGATTTGTTTCACTGGTAGACGCAAATATCTGAAAGTTCATTATAACAAAGCTTGATTCGAAAATCTGAGATGATTTTTCTCCATATGTCCAAACGTAGCTATGACGTAAACATGATTACTGATCAGTTTTTGATGACTGTACAAGGGAGAGAGGCTAAACGCTCGCTTACCTCATGGAACTCCTCGTACCCGAGTGTGAAGATACTGCAGTGCGTTTTAGCTTTTACAATGGCGTTTCTCTTACACTGAATCAGAAGACACAACTCGCCGAAGTACGAGCCATCCTCAAGTGTTGCTAATGATCGCCCGTCCTGATTGAGCACGCTTACTTTCCCCGTCTGAAGGAAAAACATTTTGGTGCCTTGTCAAGAAGGCCCAGCAATAAATACAAAAAGAACAATACGGTATTGTTGGTATTTCAAGAAATAAATACGTTCTTAAAAATATCGAGAACAGGTAGCACCGGATGATTAACTCTAAACTACGACAACTATTCTGTAAAAAGAAGCCGCCAATGCAACAAATTACTAATGCAAGTGTAAGGCGTTTGATTTGGAGGTTTGTTGAGTTGGAACAGCTGAACACCAGTACAATCTTCTCAGGCGGAAAATTTTTTTTAACTAACACTATCTACTTCTTCGCATCGTTGGGAACTATTTCGGTAGCCTATATCATACCAATTGTCCCTTCACTGACGATGACATCTTCTGGTTGGTAAAAATCGAAACGGAGCTTGGTGACAAGTTCATTGATAAAGGCAGGCTCGGCGGTGGCAAAGAACGGGACCATTCTGATTGTAGCATGGCAGTTGTGTAGCATGACGCTCTAGAAAGGCAAATTTCTAGGCTTAATTATGGACTACATAACAGATAGCTAGGTGCACTTCGCCATGCTTAATTTTACTAAGTCGATCAATTTTATTATTCCTTTTACGACCCAACCTGTTGTGCCCAAGGTAGCTCATAGAGACTCTTTTGTTTAAATGAAGTTGACTTGATGAAGTTCCATGGGGTCTTATTAAGTAGCGTGTCGTTTTCTTTATCGCAAGTATAGCTCTTATATGCTTTTTGAGGGGTTATAGTTGAATCTGCAAAGCATGTCGCTGCTCATCTGGAATATCTAGCCACGTACAACTCACCTCTCGAAGTGGATCTGACATCGACTCAAGAATATCATCTTCATTAAACACATGACCGCGATACCTTCGTTCGAAATAATCTCGCACACGCGTTCGCAACTCTCGAGGAAATCGACGAAACGACATGTAGTCCTCGACTTCGCGCATCTGAAGTAATGAAGTTAAATAACGGGAAAAAAATGAGGTAGAAACCAAATTATGAATAATGAGTTTTCACGGGGTTTGTAACAAGCCGTTATTTCACACTGCTGATTTTTGGTCCTTGAACGATTCGCGGCCTGGAGTGGCTCAAAATTTTCGACACCGAAGCCCCCTGGACCTTACTACTCTGGAAACCGTGAAGTGCAAGCGGTCGGTTTTGTAGCCACGCAAACTCTATGTGAACGTCCATCACTATTGGTATACGGTAGTATCTACTAGGAGATCCTTCTTTCACAATGTAGGCCTCCAATGATCTGACATGTCAGGCCATGGCCGTCAACTTCGCTGAGTGGATAAATGTAGGAAGGATTTCCGAAGTAAACGATTTGCACGGATATCAGGATTAGAATACGAGATGGGCTTGTAAGATCCTCTTGAAAAGAACCACAGCAATGAGAGATTTTGTATTCGACTAGGTTATGCGTAGCTTGCCTGTAGCGTGATTACCTTGTGTCGGTGCAGTTTGCGTGATACGTCTGCATGTTGCCACATTGTTGCAATGTTAGCGAGAATCAATGCGTACACAGATGCTCCGGTGAGCATCCCAACCATTGTAAACCATACATCAACAAGCGTATCTGGTGTCACCCTTCCATATGAAATGGAGAACATCTGGGACACTGAGTTAAATAGCGACCAGCACCATTGTTCAAACCACTCTGCATCCTGAAATGAATATTGACTACTTTAGCTGAAAACAATAACATATTCATTGTTTTCGGATTTTTACTCTGACAGAAACTGAGCATCAGTTTCTTTGTGCTGATGTTTAGCTATATGCAAACGTTTGCTTCGTTTGCAAACGAATCGACCACACCATCACTAGGGGGCATTCATTGATATACAGAGGACGTCTAGCCGAAGTTTCATACGAGCTTCAATTACTTACAGATCAATCTGATAATTAAAATAACGCAGTACCGAAATGTCAGGATCGCCTGAGAATATAAGTTAAATATTCGAATGGCGGTCAAGTGGAACTTCCGTCAAGCTCATTTGATATTTTTGTACAGCTCCTCGCCGTGCTAAACGTTCACTCCATTCGAGTACTGCTGCGTTGATAACAATTACGTAGTCGCCTCTGAATTTAGCATAATCTATAAGAAGCAACAAAGAGTACTTGGCTAATTAACCAATTATATTCTCTTGCGGTTGCCAGAAGAAATCCATGTTGATCAGTAAGGTCCATTACATATTTGACCGTTGTCTCTGCACCTATATACACCAAGGTGACGACTTAATCAAAGTCGAGGTTAGATTCCGAACTGATAACTTAGTATTATTATTAATGGCGTGTAAATACCTGAAGGTTGGATTGTGCTATCCAGCATCGGTCAGGGAAACCGAGACAGAAATTGACAAGAAACTGCAGACAGGCATTCCAGTGGGCAACGAGCAGCATTAGTAGTGATAGGTTCAAAATACGAATATAGATCCAGGAAGAGGATGTATAAAACGACTCCTGGCACCGCGACAGATAGCGGACCAGTCGGCATATGCGAAGGAGCCGTAATAGTGCTAAGAACTTAGCGATATATACTGTTCGCGACGAGGATAGATGTTTGTCAGCTATAAAGGAAGTCGTCAAAAAATACAAAGATGCATTGTAGATGCCTTTCTGATACTAGGATACTGCGTTGGCAGCCTATATTTGTGACGTTTCGGCCTTCTGCCGGCTGAGGCGAACGAAAACTATTCAATTGATTTGATTGAAAAATAAAAAATCGATCTGTTAGATTGTATAAGGTGACGTGCTCGCTATGCACAGTGTTGATACAGAAGCATTATCGCTTGATAGATAAGCATTATCGCTTACATAACAGAGAATTCGGAGGGTGACACTGAAAAATATTTGTGCTTGACGGTCCATATTTCAACTATTATTGCTATTGCATTTGCAGAGCTCTCAATGAGTGGGATAATACAATTTTATATTCGGTTTTGGCTTGTCCGGCTTAAAAAGAAGGCTCAACTGTCCTAAGAGGCTGACTAAAAAAATGAGCGCAACTTTGAACATGAAAATTTGCGCGCTACCTATCGAAACCTAAGATTTGACCTAACGTTTGAACTAAGCGATAGTTAATCTTGAACTTACTACTGTTTAAGTGAATAAAAGGAAGAATTAAATTGTCGACAGGGCAGCTACTGATGAAATCGACCATGAACCATCCAGCCAAATAATGATTCCGGACTTTGATCGGGTCCATAGTAACCATCGAGTGGACGTTTTCTTTGTCTTCATAGCCTGCAACAATGAATGACCTCACGTGAACGGGGCAATACTGTGTACATCTTGAAGCTATTTTACATCGATGTACATCGAGGGTAAACGACATCCAATATTGTCATCATTAAATAAAATAGTAATTCACTGGGTAATGTATAAGGTAGGTTCTCTAATTATGTGTACAGCGATTCGGCATCCGTTTAATGAGACGATGTTGACTTGTTCGTGATATGACCCGTGGCGAAGACCGGCCGGCCTAATATTAAATAATAGGCTTGGTATCCAGAATGCGATAGTGCGAAGCTTTGCTGTCACTGTACAGAAAAAAAAAAAAACAAGAAACATAAACGGGTCTGTTTGTTGCTAATCAAATTTAGGGAGTCCTTTCTTCAACAAATCGATCGTAGAATCGGGCAAATATAGATTTTTTTGAAAATTGGCGCCACAGATGAATTCCCGTTAGGAAACCGTCCCTAGCAAACTGCACTGAAGATACTTATAAAATTCAAGAAAAACTTAATGTTTTTATTTGGGTTCAATCTAGCCAGCAGTAGTTGCGTATGAAGATAGCTAACTATCTTAGATAACTTAGATAACTAAGTGTAGTTCGAGTATGCTTTAGCTAACTATCTTAGATAACTTAGATAACTAAGTGTAGTTCGAGTATGCTTTCCGAATCGCTATTAGCTATATCCTCGATTTTTTTAAAGACTTTTTTTATTGGAAAATATTTTTATTCTCTTAGTTCCTGTTGTTTACTCGATCCAGTTTTTGTCCAGCAGCGTCAAAACAAAATTCAAATTCTTAGACTAGTGACGCCGATGCCTAGACATTCAAAGTCCACAATTGGGAGACGGCCTTTCACAAACAACAACAAGTTTTTATGGAAAAGTAATTTAATCACCACATAAATTTGGGGCCTTTTTACTCGACTTAGATCTGCGTTGCTCAATTTAGTGACATTCATCTAAATCGTAGAATTTAGAGGACTGATTGTTACTGTTATTGTATGAAACAACATTCTTCTACTTTATGAATCCTATTTCGGCATCGATGTTTGCGTTATAGGCAATCTTCTCTTGTTTTAGAAAACTATGTAGCTTCTAACATTAAACATATAGTTTGATCGTATAGACGCTTGGCCTGCTAACAGAGTGCTTTGTCTTCTAATTCTGTTTCTACGCTATGTTATTGTACTACAAATTACGTTCGTGTTTTATTGCTTTTTTTTTTGTTCTGTCGGGTATCTGCAATCTCTTGTGTGGCGTAGGAGTGGGTTCGAGAAATTACATAGACACTACTTCTATCCCATATGGTTTTCATATAAATAGTTGGGTATACAACGGTTGTCTAATGTAAAAATGTTCCTTTTAGGCACATCTTAGTCTCGGCAACGTGATCGATCGTCCATTGAACAAAGCGGCCCTCGAACAGCTGCGGAGCAGCGGCGTTCGAATTCTACTCTAGATATAGACACAGCGACTCGACTACTGACTTGTAGAGTAAAAAAGGGGCTTTTCCGAACTCGTTTACGAAACCCTAGTGTTCAAGCATTCCACTTTTGTGTGAGGCAACTAATCAAGATAACTGACTCTTCTTATTTATTTATTTATTGTACCTAGTGCGAACTGTAAATTTGTATCACAGTTAGGCTTCAACAAAGCAACTCAAGTGATTCCGGAGGGCAACACGTAACTTCGACGTGCTGTCCTATGCTGCTAATACGTTTAAAAGCAAAAGCATTGATTGATCTTACGATCAATCCTAGGCCAACGTTGTTTCTGTACACACATGATAAGACGAAGAAAGTTATCTTCCTAAAATGATTGGTCATCTTTTAGTATTAAAATTCAAATAGGCATAACTAAAGAAGAGTCATCACAGCCTTAAGCATAAAAATCACTCGCACTACAAAGTAGAGCATATTAACAACTTATTTTTCAAGTTATTCATATGCTCTACAAATATCAACGACTGCTTCTCACCTGTGATGAAGTTGAGCCCGATGTCAATACAGAAAACTATATCTGACAGAAGATTGAAGATCATAACGGAAAGCGGTTCAAAATGCCGAAAATACGCGACGCTAATAGGTATTATAAGGCAATTAATTACAGAAAGGACGACAATCACCAACTCCCAGCGCATCCTTAAACCAGTTTAAAAAAAAAAACAAAGGTTGATCGTCTCTTTTGACTAGATAATCAAAACTGAATTCCCTGATACTGTGTGGCCAGTTAACAAAGCTTATTAAACGGTACAGTGTGGCAATATTTTCAAAAGCAGGCAGACTATTTCGGCGACTTCCAACAGTCATCAAGCACCAGTTATGTGGATTGTTCTGCTATGACTATGTATATTGGCTTCATCAGTTAGAAGCCCAAAATTCTCTGGCCTTTGAGATAAAGTATCTTGTTTAAAGAGCTATTCTTTCCTTAGATGCAAAGATCTCATATAAAATCGAGACTTTTAAAAGACGTTTTCGTTCTTTTTGTTTTCTACTCGCAAATTGCTATCGAGTGCGCAATTTTAAGTTAACTAAAGAAAGGGCGCTATGAGAGCATGCTCAAAGCTAAGGAAGTATTGTGCATGTATTTTTCCAAAGCTAGCCGTTGACTAATAGAATTGTGTGTACCTAAATTTTCCCTGCGGATGTATCATAAAGCGATACTTGGATTGCGCACCGCGATTCTGCTGCCACTCTCGTAGGTCGACAAGCGCCTGGTCGTTTGCCTTAAGGGACTGCCTACGGGATCTTGAATTTTGAAAGAAATGTCGAAATTGTTTTTGAATTAAGCGCTGTTTTAATATATCCTCCTCTGAGATCAACGAGGCTCTGCGTGAGCCCGCTTGCGAAGGTGATCCCAAGGTGGCAAACTTTGCCGCAGGACCATTATTGGAAATAGTGAACGCCGTCCGATCCATGGCGCTCGGACAGGAGCAGCTGTGGCCTAAAAAACGTTTAGTGCACAAGATTATCCACTTTTTTCACACCTCGACATTTTGTGTGTTAGAAGCTGATTGTAAAGAACCTTAATGCTACTAGGACTAAAAGCTACACGTATAAAGACTGATATAGATAGATGGCATCTGGCTGAATTCTATTTATACTGGATTAATCGATCTTAACTAACAAGCTAACTTTCCCAGTGGAAAGGAGCTTTAAACATTTTTCTTTTTTAGATTTATAGAGATTCTTCTTTAGACTATCATTGGCCCTTTTTTGGTGTGCCTGTAGATTCAATCAAATCCAAGCGGACCTTCCTCTACTACGACCGCTACTTACTGAGTCCGTCCTTTCGCACGAAGTCCAACACAAGTGGCTGGTCGATGCCGAATTTACAAAAGCTTTTTTGTTCTTCGAAACCAGGACGTGATGGAAAATGTACAACAGCCTGCCGTGATCGAGAAGGAGGCGACGACGATTCATCCTGTTCTGTTGGGTTAGTTGAACTGTAAGAGAATCAGTGAATGCAGAAAACCACATCTTAATCACTTGCTAGTCATTTTTCAAGTACGTCACTGCTATAAATACGTTTCGATCGAGACGGCCCACGTAAAACGTCAAGGGATTGAAACCTTCGAATCCCCGGATCAAGTCCTATCACTGTTATTATTATACTGCGGATTCGAAACAGCTCGATGTTCTAAAGGACAAAAATAGATGATCATGAATCAGACGGTTTGTGAACTCAAGGTTGAATTATAATGCACAATTGGCTTTTAAAACACGTTTTTAATTATTTATCCTAATGACGCCACGCAATAAACACTTTTGGAGCTTCGTATTTATACAATTACATGAATATCGTGTCACTGGGCAATCGAACGAAAGGAGAAAAGAAAATTGTTGAACAGGAGGCTGGCTAACAACAGCTAGGGGTAAGATCGCTCCAAAGTTAAGGTCAAATGGATCTTGTTATGGAATGCTAGGTGAAAAGAGATATTTTTCCATAGTGCATAAATCCGCCATGTAATTTAACTTAAATTATCGTTCATATGAATTTCTGTTTTTTAGGACCAAACAGTGAGCATGAGTATCTCTTTTCGTTGTCCTTATTTTATTGTGGGTTTGATTCGAAGTCCGAGTGTCCCAACGTCTAAACGCTGAGAGCAACGACTCCATCGTACATCATTATAATTTAGAACTTTGATTCTTATTCTACCGACGACTCACTCCACAATCAAGTGGCTTACCGCACAGAATACGCGTCTGCTGCTTCATTACTTCCAACTAGTTGCTTCCTGCAATTTGTTGTTCTGTCCACCGAACGTATACCGTCCTTAGGATCGGGAGTCATTTACGTCTCTCCAAAAAGTACTGAACAAAGATTCTACGAAAGAGTCACAATATAAAGTACGTTGAAACAATATTTTGCCCGTCATCACTTTGTTCCACATCAGCTAATTCCACATTGTCCTGTAGCAGTGTGTTTTCCAGCCAAATCATTCCCATGAAATAACCGTCGCACGAAAGGGGAGCTTTGAAGCTAGAAGATTTTGGTATGTTTTGGTTATTTTTTTTTATGGGTTTTGGTCTTTGGACGGTGATTTAATTTTACTTGCAGTACTAACAGAAATCATCAACAATCGACTCGGTTCATGACCATATAACGCTTGTATGGTGTGCTGGTAAGTCCTATTTTGTTAGCATTCATGGCCGAGCGCGCGCAGTGGTTCAGGTCTATTGCACAGTTCCGTTACGCGCGCTACCCTTTCGTAAAGCGATACGTAACAAATTACATTCCAACATGCAGTCACCCCTCGTGATTACTGCCGTTTAGTATCTTTCTTTACACGGATAATCGCTAAGTAGCTTGTAAAGATTATCGGACGTACAGGCGAAACGGCACTGTAGAATCAGCCTGCGGGTTAGCTATAGCTTCCGTTATGTGTATTGGCGCCGCCGATGAAATTTATAACAATGGGACCGCAACACTTCGGAGTCGCCGGCAGGGTGGTCTTGGGTACTAATGCAGCTGGAAGCATACTTCTACCGCGTATAATGTCCAGCTGTCGATTAGCTTTGCCTGCCAGGGCAAAGTTCGTATAGACAACTCCACAACCAGCTTATTCTACACCGTTAACCATAGGACCTGTTGCATCGTTTTTACTCTGTGACATAGTGCTATCCGCACGGCGTCCCTTTGTCTACAGTTCATTGTCCTTGTAGTGCCTTTTTCAATGAACATTTTTACAATATATTCTCGATCACAACCCGGTCTAAAAATCATGTCACTGTGTTTTTACTACGTAGCTAAATCCATTCGTGTGCATTTTCAATCTTGATTTATGATCTTAGTTTTCTGCTATTGCGTTACTGTTAGTTTTGGTTCGATGACTACTACTACAGGTTGGTTGTCGAGGCATGTTGTTGACAACCTGTCCACCTATTAGGTTTGTTTAGGCCTCTGCGTGAAATGATCTCTTTCAGACACGATACCGTCACCTTCTTCCAGTGAAAGATCGCCGTCCACTAACAGCCTGGCATCCAATCCACGTTCTCCTTGGAAGTCAGTCGTAAGAACAATAACTACATGGGCCACAGTGGCTCTAGTAGAATATCGGCTTGATTTAATCTAATTAAGATGGCGGTAAACGTACTAAACACTTTTTGGTTTCCTCATAGTATGCGATTTCCGCTGCGCTACTACATATTGTAGATCTGCGGAGTTCGCGCGAGGCTTTAACCGAACCGTCATAGTTCAGGGCTGTGTGGTATATATAGTTGATCCCACCTCGTTGACTGTATTCAGTGTTTCTTGCCGGTAAGGTAAACGTATAGGATGACAGAAAGGAATAACGTCATGACAGGTCGTACGCTTCTCCGAAGTGAGGACGAGCAAATGGCACGAAATTAATTTTGTATGACAGTAGCAACGATGAGGACAACACTGACTATGCAACAGTCCATCGGTGCTCGCTACGTGCAGTAAATCGACGGAACCGCCGCGCTGGTGCCCTTCCTCTTGTTACGGCCCATTATTGGTTCGGAATCGTATAGGAAAACGGATAGATAGATAGATAGATAGATAGATAGGTGGATGACTGACTGATTGACTGACGTGTTAAATGAAGAATTCTAAACAGTGATCAGTCTTACATACATATGTGTAGCACGGCTTTTCGTTAAAACAGAGACAATATAGGAACAAGGTCGGAGATGTAGCGAGATGTGTATAGACTGCAACGTGGTCATAGAGCAATATCTGGCACGCAGTTTTAATTAAAGCCGCCTGAACTAAGAAATAAAAAACGTATATAAATGAAAATATATAAAGAAGGCGAAATGCGAATATTCGATGGGAGCCTATTGAAGCCCACAGGTAAAAGGGTCTCGATGACTAATAGGATAGAAAGAAAGGGCCTGTGCGTCGAACAAGGATTTCACTGATGAGCTGCGTATTCATATTAAAGAAGAGCAGGTGTAATCGAAAATGGAGCAGAAAATAAATGATGAGCTGCGATGACGGTCTGTAAATTTGATCGCAGCCTTACCCTTGAACTCAGTGTTCAGACGGCTGTATACGAAGCTTGTCGTATCTAAGGTTCGGATCTTGTAACTTACCAACACTAAGCGATGATACTAAATTAAATTCATGAAAGCAATGATTTTTATCAGTTAGTTTTCAGTCTGATCTGATGTCAGTCGTCAAAATATGTTATTGTCAAGTTATAGTGTTCGTAATTTACTTTAGTGTATTTTTTCATCTTCGAACTTGTTATTATGTCGTAAGGTCTGATATAGAAAAGTTACTCAACACATAGCCCGTAATCAATCTCCTAACAAATATCTATTGTAACAAACGCTGGCAGATAAGAAGGTGCGGCTATATTTTGGCATGAAGTTCTTCGAAGTTGATAATAAATCAAGTGATCATGGACATCAATAACTTCTTATTCTATCTGCACCTTACAGTTAAGCCTCATGCTTGTCAGTTTAGCTGAGCGGAAGAACCTGAATTTTGTTCTCACATATAAATACTTCAATTACGCAGGCTATAACCTCCTTTTTTCTCTGCTAATTGCTCGGTAGGCAGTGAATGTTAAACGTAATGTCCACTAGGTTGCAAGCGCGAAGAAGGCACACATCTCTAATAAAGGTCGATCTCAATTGATCGGTCGAAATCCGCGTACGTAAAACTTACTCGCGCTATTACTTATTGCTTATCAGCTGAATCTTGTTTTTTATTGGACGTTCCTATTGTGACGGCAGCACAAAGTTTCGAATTTTACAAATCTCAATTAAAGGACTTGGCACGTAGCGTATCGCTGCACTCCATCAGGTTTTATCAACGCTTAGGGGAAGTCCACACCACGGATGTATACGAGAACGCACCTCTTAATGCTTTAGGCTCCACCTTCGAATAGGTGCCACTAGCCGAAAACAGGTTTGTGGACCTACGACAATGTGGAACGTTATCTCAGCCACTAAAATGACGTCAAAGCAATATCAATCCGTTCACTTCCATAAATCGCATTGCGGTGTGAAAAAACATCATAAACATATATTATATACTTCTAAACAACGTAGCCTTGGCCAAGCGTTAACCATCAGAGGCTACAGGAACGAAATGAGTTGTATATGTATTTATATACACATATATAACCTAAGGTAGCTGAATGTTAGAAGTTGTTCATCAGCGGCTGGCATCTCTTCAAGGGGTTCAATATAAAAAATCGTTTACTGTTTGTTGCCTAATAGCTTTGCCGAGGGACACCGTGTCAGCCGTTTTTCATTACCAATTTTCACGACAAGTTTTTACCAATCGACGGTTCCGTCAAGCCATAACGACACGGCTGGATAATGGCTACGTTTTTGATGAGTTGTATATATCTGTTGATTGGTCGCTTTTCTACTATACGCGTAGCGTTTCAAGACTGAGTGACAATACAAAGTGGTTATCAACCTGCACTCCATTAATTCCAATCGAATTCAGTCATACGAAATGAATCGGCCCTATCAGACCATCTTCGTGACCTTTACAATGAATTTAAGCCGTTTGTCGGCTAAGAAAATAAATACAGTACCAGCCAAAGATAAAGTATGATCAAACATAAGGGGGCTTTGTTATATCAAATTGATAACACTGTGCCTCGTGATCAATGACGATTTTGAAATAACGCAACCTATATGAAAAGCCTGTCACGGACGTATCCGTCATGTCACGCAATGCCATGGAAAAGTGCACAGCTAATGTAGAACGTTGGTTGTTTACAATTGGTGCTAGTGATTTTAAATATAGATCACCTTTAGTTTTCTACCTTATGTGCTGATGACATCTTAAGTATGTGTTGGAAAACCTTAGATGCTTTAGGTTGAGTTTTGACAGCTAATAATATTTATTGAGAGTTACGTTTCTGTTTAAACAAAGTCGTTTTGCTTGTTTTTTTTTTTTCAATATATTAAAACATATTCGAAATCTTTTGGCATCCACTAGCAAATTGATTAAGTTATGTACGAACAAAAAGTTCATGCGATGCGCAATTTTTAACTCTATTAACTGAACAAGTTCCGTTCCTCTGCTGCAATGGCGGGAAAAAACGCTACGCTTTCTTGAACCTTCCCTAATGCACAAGAGCATCTGGGGACGACCACAAGTAAGGCACATATCTGTCTTTCTGTGCGCTTTCAGTTTGATGTAGCTATGCACGATATACGCGCTATGTACGTGCTACTACGTACATAGCGCGTATACATGTATGGAATACGTACTATATACGTGTATGGAAAAACTATATGAACATAGCTTCTTTTTTCCGACAGCTGAATGTTTAAGGCGTCATAAGACTGCATATTTTGTACGATACGTTTTATTTGTTTCCAAGCCAAGATAAAAGCCTGAGATGTCCGCATATGAAACCAAGTATCTAGCTAAAACCTGTTGATTGCGATATCTAAGCCTTACTTAGAGATTACCAACAGTCAGTTGCCTTTATTTATAGCAGATAGCCACTGCTTTTCAATAATCAAATCAGTGCGATACCGATATACTAATAACCTTTGCGTGGTAAGGATTTTGGCGGGAGGGCCGGGATCTTTCGACCTAGACTCAACACGTACGGTAAAGCAGTGATACCTCATCGCTTCATTCGTATCCTTAATTACAAAGTACTTACATTCTAATCATATAGGGTTTCTATTCCTTAACTTTGCTCTGCTAGGTTTACCACACACAGAATGAGTATGTTCCCTCTCGTCAAATCTCTCTAGCTCATCTATAAATGTAAATAAGGCCTTAAACGTGATTAGCTGCCATTGCTGATATTCTACCATACGATAAGTGCTACAGTTCGCGCTGCTGCCTTAAGGTGGCGTACAGGCGGGCGTCACGATATTAAACTCGTGTCTTATGGCCTCAACCCCATAATTTCAATCGTGGTTCTGTTAATCGCTACAACGGCGAGTTTACCGTCTCGCTGATCATGCAGCCGTTTTAAAGTACATGAATGGACGCCATGTTGACGCGAGGCTTTGTTGGACGTGTCGATGTACATAAAATAAGAAAATTGAAATACGACACGGGACGTACGCGGCAGTAATTGGTACTCGCCGACTGTCGCTGTTGCAGGACAACTCAAACACACGGAAACGAGGTGGATCTATTATTAGAAATGGAAAGGCCATCAGGTCCTTTAGCAAATTCGCTCTGTTCGCCGATGGAACATCCGCTTTGCCCACTTTGGTTGTCAAACATCTCGTCCTTGAGCCTCTTCGCAACACTTTTCTCTAAACCACATTTAATAGGTAATTATTTTTTGTAAGGATTTGTCTACAACTGGCACTTAACGCCTTTTAGGTGCATAGAAACATCAGCAGATTGGAGCCTAAAACACCTAACTGGAGGTAACCAAAAGTTGCTCTGCTACTTATTGTGAAGACATGAAAATAGCTGACAAAATGTTTTTATATATAAAATTGTAACACCCAATGAAGCTTCATTGTAACTTCAGAGCCGGCCAAGACTAGCGTGTCCGCGAAACGGCACCAGTCGGCCTATCGACGACTGCCGCCAGGAGGTTAGCTTCCTTCGCCATACTATAAAAAATGCCGTTTGGATCCTGAAGGAGTGTTGCCGGTTTCCCAAATTCCACCACTCGGCCTTTATCGAAAACCATTATCCTGAAAGAGCAATATCTATTAATTAAGATTTTAGTAATGCACTTTTCGTGCAGTTGATGCGCATGATCAGCTACAAATAAGAGTCTCTTAATAATTTAAGCGCTAGAAATTCCATTGTTTGATCTGCTACAATTGTAGTAGATTATCTAATATAATTTCCTTTTTTGTGTTTGACGCCAGACTTATAGCTGCACACCTATTGTTCCACTGGTTCACCTGCTGCTCCCAGTGGAACAATAGGTGTGCAGCTATAAGTACTAGCATAAAGCAAGGAACGGGCGCCGCACTATTTTGTATAGGAAAGAGTGCCTGCTTACTATACAATGGATATGTCTGCTTTTTAAATTATGCTTAATAAAACGGAAATGGCGTAATTGGACCGAACGTAAACGTACGTAGAAGATCTTTGTCATAAAATAAGATCTTCTGCATTAAAAAGTAGAAGTTTGACATAGGCATATTCTTGGTAGCTAAAATTTTGATACAACGAAAGCCAATCTTCGTCGTAGTATTGTTTCATGCGGATCTAACAAGTTCAGGGTGGGCACAGCCATACAAAACTGGAAAAACCTCTAGGCTTATTTTCTTTGCAGTCGGTTTTTGCGTACACTTAAACGTTAACATATGACATTTTAAATTAGAGAATAGGCTTAACCACTGCTACTATACAGCGGAATAGAGCTAAAGTACCTGTCATAGTCAATAATAGTGTTTAAGCGATGCGCAATGGTCAGGACGGTACAGGACTGGAACTCTTTTCGAATAGTTTTCTGGATCAATTCGTCCGTCTCCTGGTCAATAGCAGCCGTTGCCTCATCCATGACTAAAATACGGCTTTTGCGTAGCAACGCACGAGCGAGACACAACAACTGGCGTTGCCCCATCGAGAGATTTGTCCCACCCTCTGCCACCAGAAAACTCAGGCCTTTCGTATCTGTACCAGATTGCAGCTTGCTGACAAATGTCTTCAGATTTGCCAGCTCAAGCGCACGCCATAGCTCTTCGTCTTTGTACTGCCAAACGTTAGCACGTTAGGTTTATTTAAATAAAAATTTGGAGTACTCTAGAGAGTTCTGAAATAAAATATGTCATTTCCTGAAATAGCTTAAAAATTTCCAGGTTGAGGTTACGAGCTGCATCAGTTGTCTGCAAAAATGCGTTACTTGCTTGCTAACTGATAGTTCGTCCGCGTAAAGCTTATTGGAAATTGAAAAAAACAGACATTGACTTTCCTCACCATACGAAGCGGATCAAGATTGAGACGTAGTGAGCCACGAAAGAGAACCGAATCTTGTGGAATGATAGTCAGTCGGTGCCGGAGATCATGAAGGCCGATGTCGCGGATATCAATTCCATCAATGATGATTTTTCCACTGGCTGGCTCCAGAACGCGAAACAACGCCAGGGTGAGTGATGATTTCCCGGCGCCTGTACGACCCACAATGCCTACCTGCGCGAATAAAAAAATACCTATTAGATATTAAACTACTACTAGATATGAAAAACAGTACTAATTAATAAGTAATTAAAAATTAACTAAAACGATACTGTGACCGAAAGCGGTTCTCAATTCAATCTATGGCTGCTGATCAGCAACAAATAAGAATTTCGATGACCTTTCAGCAGCGTCAACGTGAAGGATTCTATCACAAATAGAGCTAATAAAATACCAGTATCAGTCGCTATTACTGTATATAGAAAAAATAAAATAAAAATACATATAAACAATCAGGCATGGAATTAGTTATCTTCTTTTTCCTTTTGGCAGAAGTGCCTGGCGGAGCTATGACACTATCCTTGGAAGCGTAAAAAGCATGTCTTAGATATTCGTTTACTGACGCAACTGCTCGGAGAAGTTCCCTTTACTGCTGAGAATAAGGCCTAGGCTAACTTGCGGCTATTATATATGGCTCAGATATATGTATTCGCTGAAGGTAGTATGAAGTGACCGAACCTCCACGTTCGGAGCGCTTTCGTACGTCCGATGCTAAAGACTATGCAGTCTTTGTTGCAGCTGAAGCATTTCACTGATTCTACACTTAGGTGCATATACCTCAGGAACAACTTGATCAGGTATGTTGTAATGATCATTAAAGCGGCCATTTTTTTTGACGATGGGGTTTTTATTAAGCCCGCAGTGCTTTGTTTTGCGTAATGGCTCAATTCTGCTACTTATTCTGAAGTGCAGCTGTCCATTGTAGATGGTCAAGCGGTAGATTTGGCAACAAAAACCCCAGTTACACGCACCGATACGCATACACGATTGTTATCTTTCATCCTTTTTGTGATCTTATCCTCTATTAATTCTTTTTTATGATGATAGAATACACAAGCACCCGGTCACGCACTCACTTGGTGTACTAAACAAACGGCGATTTTCGCTCGGCTTGTGAGTATCTCAGCGTAGCTCTTAAAATATGCCACACAACGTCTCTTTACGGAATGGGCTACCCTTAAACATACATGCCTTCTCAGGCTATGCTATCTTCGGGCGGTCAATTATTATCTATTACTTGAAGGAGCCATTAAAAAACTAAAAATTTACCGAAAGTGTATTCCATCCCGGGAAAGGTCTTGGAATTTTTAAAAATTTACCTGTATTTTTGACGAAATGACTTCATTAGACACACTAATCCAGTACCATTGAGATACAATAGACACGAATTGTTTTATATTACTGCGCATACAAATGTTAAAGCTTAATGTGGTCACATCCTGCTACTCGACAGCGAGTTATTAGATGACGATTAGGTTTGTTTGCAGAAAAAAACAAATAGTCGATCTTGTAAGGTAGATTTTCAGTACTACAGAATCGGCTACTTGAGTTTTAATCTACGTAACCGAGCTAGACAGATCATGACGTAAAATGTGTAATATACACGTACCTTTTCACCGGCGCGAATTGTTGCCGATATGTTTTTTAGGACGAGAGGAAGTCCATTTCGGTAACGCGTCGAATAGTTTTTGAAGACAACTTTACCCTTAGTAGGCCATTCTTCAGGTGGCTTTTGACCTCGTATTGACCATTCAGCCTAAACGGTTGTATGGAGATGAAGACTTAGAATTCTTCTAACAGCGAAATTTCCTTGTCTAAAGCCTTATTTGATATAGGGAAGTTGATTGTATGATAATAATGTGAAAGATTCTAGCCTGACGTTCGTACGCGTTTACGTACGATTGCTGGAACACACAGTGGAACCCTATGCACGCATATGTTGGAATGGGTCCGTAACCCAATAAGGCGCCAAAGAAATCATCATAAATACTACGTAATTCATTCGAGGTTTTGGTTTGACTACAAAAGGAACGTGTCTAAGGCTACTGTGCTGGACGTGAGAAAGAAGTATTAGCATTTTGCGTTCGACATGACCGGCATAACCCTTTCAGTACCTCACTTGGGAGATTCATGTACTCGATAAGACGTTCAACGGAGACGAAAGCAGTTTCAATTTGTGAGTTACTCCGGACGATTCCATTTAGCGTTGCGGTGACTCTCATAGCAAATGAAAATATCATGCCAACATTCTCTGCGCTTAAGATTTTTTCGCCATAGTAGACCATAACCAAACAGGCGAATAGAACTACTAGACTGCCACATACCTCCATCCGAACACTAAGCCATCTGTTTGTCAGAAAATAATGAGTGTTAACAAAGAAATTTCAAATAAGCAACACAAAAATAAGCTGAATGTATCTCTAAATCAATAAAAGCTCTATATCCTAGGTTGATTTTCACAGACACATATCTCCAGAAGGTTAACACAACCTATCTAGCAACAATCTAGCAAATACGTTCCAGTTGGCGTTAAGGTTGCCAATCGCGCCCACCCTTCAATGTTTAAGCGATAGTTCGACGTCCCGAAACGAATTTCTTTCGTTTCCTATTTTCAAGTGAACACCGCTATCTGAGCATGTACTTACAGAACAAAATTAGCGGCTAAGAGCTTATCTTTGAAACTTATCTTCTCATAGGGTTTCATGAACGTTGTAGGCACTATATTGTAGTTATCAGCTGTCCTAATCGAATTAGCCGCAGCCTCTGCATGCGCACTTATGTTATTGGGTCGGCCTAACTATCAGAAAGTGTTAGCTCCTCTGATTCCTCTATAAGGAACGCATATCGCATTACACACTTAAAATTTTATATATATATATATATATATATATATATGATCCAAGTATGAGACCAATCAAAACCAGGGACTATTTCAATCACACACATACACACACATTTTTAAGAGCATGCGTAGACTAAGCGTAGACTAAAGAAACCTATTCCTCTTTCTGGTAAAAAATCATGGTTGTAAAAAAACTTAACCGTTCGGCAGCGAGACTGGCGTAAGTGCATCGCACACTTTCATCAAGACGCTTGCATGACTCCTTAACGAACGCTTTCTCAACTTCAAATGCCCGAATGATTGAGATACCAGAAAAACTTTCAGTAAAATGTGAGAAAATTGGCGAAAACGAAATTGAAGTCAGTCGCTGAAGCTGCCGGGACAGTGCAATGTAAAGCAGTTGAAAGCCATAATATAAAGCGGCAAGCGGTACTGCCGAAGTGATGAACATCGGTATATGTCCGCCTATCATAAAGATGGCGACTAATAACTGCAATAAATAAGTTTCATAGAAAAAGCGTTACATCCAGAGAGAAAACTTATAACTTTCTTTGTGTGATAGTTAATACAATTAAAGTTGATCTGCCACCGAAGTGTCAAACTTCGGCCAGCATTTATCTAACGTCTACGGGTCCTTTGTTGATACTTGGTTCACTCAGCTACTTCGAGGAAAAAAGGAACTCGTTAAGCTGAAAATCAAGCTAACAAACCTGGATGATCGCGAAAGCCCACATGTGTAACGTATCCGCTACCATTAGATCAACGATGGTGATATCCTTCGCAAAACGATTTACAATTCGGCCCAGCGGTGTCGTCTCGAAAAAGCTGACCGGGGAACGCAGAACGCTATACAGGACTTTTGTGTGGAACGTTACTGCGGCCTTAATTGACGCATAATTTCGACCAACTGAACATAGTAGAAGAGCCGCGGCATTGGCAATTCCCAGCAATCCATACACCATCATACGATTGTTTCGTAGTGGGACGTTCACCTTTCCATCTGAATGAATTAAGCAGCACGATCATTGAGACGATGCCTGTGATACTGAAAGGCTAACGGGATTTGTCCCATAAGGTGAGCTTACCAAGGACTATTTTACGCAATTAGCTAAATTCTGCTGTGCCTATGTTTTGAGGAGGCACGGTTCACCTACAATTTAGACAGACTGTCGTTCTCATGGATTTCTTAGTTAACTAACCTTCATGGGCCACGTGTATAGATCAGGCCTAGCCCTAGCCACAGGCTTTTGATAGTTGACGACCTCAATATAATGGGACTGACGCTTTTATCATATCTGACAACAGCCGTGCAACGTAGAGCTCGTCAATGGCATCATCAGTTACAATATTGACAGAAATTACGTTAGGTACAATAGCCTTCAGCAAATCTGGGTATCCTCACTTAAGCTTAAGCTGCTAGATAATGGACGACAGCAACTGTCTGTATTAACACTACAGTCACTATGGCTATCTACTAACGCTCTTCATATATGGTATTACAGCCTTAGCACAGCATAGCTTAACTGAGACGCAAAATTTCAAAAAATTCAAAACAAAGTCTGATTTTGAAGCCATAAAATTATTTCGTTACTGCAAATTTATTAGTTAAGTAAAACTTAGCCCGTTAGCCCTGAAAAAAATTAGCTATCGATGCCAACGTTTCATCAAAAAAAAAAGCTCCAGTGTTTACTTTGTCAGATATTGCACACGTATTTCCAGTCACTATCACCAGCACAGCTGATAAACCTTATGAGATTTATTTATAAAGAAATTCTTCCGCCCCTTATATTCCCTTATCTCTCTATGTATGTAAGTTCTTTAGAAAGGATTTAAATTTAGATATTCCTATTTGTACACTCACATGTATATACTACACAACTGTATCAACTAAAGCATTAAAGAATACTTCTATAATCGATTGTGCCATTAAAAAGGGGCATCTGTTTTGAAACTAACAAGAACCCATTGCTGTCGATATTGGAAGCAGAAGTACAGGTAGTGTTTATATATATATATATATATATATATATATAAACAAGATTTACCAGTAATCTGCACTATCAGCTCCGCTAATTGACAAAGAGCGTGGCTATAAATACTCTATTCGATATCGCCATTGCTTCAGATAGCTAGCCTTTTCAACGGACTGCGTCTGTTTTCGCTGCCGAACGTACACCATTCATAGATTGACTGACCTGGTCCAGGCAGATCACGAGCCCAGTAATGTAACCATATTAAGGACACGAAAGACAGGACAGCCGATAGTACGGAGAAAAATAGGATCGCTGTTGGCCACAAACATCCAATGGCACTCAAATAACCAAAGTAAACATGCCATTCCACCGCACCAACTTTCACATCTTCTGCCTGTGTGAGTTGCGCAGCTCTCTTCGACTGTAAAATGTCCACAATTGAAGTGGAAATATCAGGTATAACAATGCGAATAAAATATGCTAACTTGTCACCAGTTGAAGTTAGTCATTTTTTTTTTTATTTACCAGGTAAACGTCGACGTGCCATCGTGCACACGTTATATAGCCATTTTACAGAGTACCATAACTTGGTTAAATAGCAACTGTTTCTACCATGTACACGTCAACAGCAGTAATCCTGCTTATCGTTAAAAAAAAATGAAAAAAAAAGTTTTGTTAAGTTAGTTCGTCTAGCTTGAGAGACAAAGGTAACTGAATAATAGCTGGCAATTTGTAAGAACGGCTAATTTAGCTTGCCCGTCTCCTTTTCACCGTCAATATTGCTATTGGCTATTTCTTAGACTAATTATTCGTTGCAGAGGCCCGCGGGATCTTGATCATGGTTTGCTACGTACGACATTTGCTCCTAGCGCGCTGATTCCCTCAAAATCTGCTGTTTCCTTTGACGGCCCGGCTGCACCTTCCTTCACAGAAATCAAGAAGCAAATTTTATACAAAGATAGGCTCACTTCATTACCATATGTGGTCCAATTTACTTATGGATTTAACACATCCATTTGTTGACAGTACTTCCATTAATAATTTGAATACTACTCTCTGTATCACCGTTAAGACATTTAACTCTGATACGGAACTGTCTAAGAAGTATAGCCTGACTTTGCCCCAGCTGATCTTCCGAGTGTAGCACAAATTATGAATAGCTAATATTAAATAGCAGGGATTGCCAGATGAGTACACGGTCACAAAAAGCAGTTCGTCGATGGACAAAGGTATCATGGCGACGGACGGCATAGAGAGTTTGCCAGGCTCGCCGAACTGTGCAGAGATGAGCAGAAATGCTATTTTACTACGAAAAACTAAATTCGACTTGAAAAAACCGCGCCTTATTGAGGGTTATTCGTTTGAATGGGCCTTGCGTCGGACATCACGTAGTTTTTCATACATGTGCCCATTTAATTCCGAGATCCTAACGAAACAGAAGGGGTAACGTAACTTGTAGCTTTAGATAACTGCGTGATTGTTTCTTTAACGAGACAAATACTATTCACCTTATCCTGCTGACCCTCCAGTTGTCGAACAAGTTCGCTGAATGCGCCATTAGTTTTCACAAGTTGAATAAACGTGCCTTGTTCAATTATTCTACCTTCCTTTAGCATAACGATATGATCGACGAACGGAAGGAATGATACGCTGTGTGTTACTAACACTCTGGTCCGGTCTGCCAATATTCCAGAATGTCCCAACACCTATTGAACGAGTGAGTTTCAAAAGGAGAACAGTGGTAGACAGAGAAAAGAGCGTAGACAGGTTCATTTATGAACATAATAACGCAATTACCTTATCCTGAAGCTTACCTTATCCACGATTTATGCAGTTTCTCACACAACCTTTAACTGCTTAGTGTTTCAGGACCACGTGATGATCTAGGCCTAAATCCCGGCGTAGACACTGTTTCATATTGAAAGCCAGCTGTCTAATCAAATATCTACCAACATGTAGTAAAGAAATGTAATCTCACCCTATTAAGCACCGAAAACGCTATGCGTATTCCACTATTACACACACTGAGCGAATCAAAGGAAGAAAAAAGTAAATACTAGGATTTACAAACTTGTTCAAAAAGATGTGCTCCGACGTGCGCGTCAACCGCACTAAGAGGATCATCAAAAAGGTAGACGTCTGCCTCGGCGTAGCAGGCGCGCGCAATCGAAATTCGTTGCTTTTGGCCACCCGACAGATTAATTCCTTTCTCACCAATTTCGGTCAGGTCTCCAGCAGGCAAAACTTTCATGTCGGGGAGAAGTGCGCTAGCCTTGAGGATCTTGCCGTATTTTTCTTTGTCGAAAGGCTTCGTGAATAGGATGTTGTCACGAAGGCTCACATTGTAGATCCATGCTTGCTGTGGAACGTATGCTATCTTACCTGCATGAATGCCGTCAGTGCACACGCAAAAAGCCTTCAACATAGGTCTATTCCTTTGAGATCTCCTCACAACAAAAAGCTCGCGCATTCCTACCTTTTTTACCGGCTTGAAAAGCCAAGCCTAGTAAATACTTGGGATAAAGGACAAACATTTTTCATCAATGATATAACTGTTAGCTAATCGAACTGCTTTGATAAAAGCATCTAAAACTCAAGGTTGTCTATTACGAGCCTCATAACTTGAATTAGTCAGGTAGTATTAAGCTGATTTCGCAAAAATCGACGTTTTGAAAACAATTCGTTAATACCGATTTCTCAGTATTTGCGGTGTAAAAACACTGGATGAAAAAAAAAACAGATTATTTAATCTGACATAATAAAGTACGAGCAGCAAGACCCGCTTGTTTCATATGGCAAAATATAAGACATGTCGCACAGGCTGCGGTATCGATGCAGTTGTAATTTCTCCATTTACTGTTTGTCCATATCTAAAAATGATGGATTACGATAGATATTTACAGTCGTCATTTCCCGAGTGTCGTCGTTGTTATATTCTGGCGATAGCTATTAAAGCTTGTATTACAAGTAGACCTCCTTGTTTGTGACACATAAGTAGCTTATTCTTCAATAACCCTACGTACCGCAAACCGACACCCGTCCGCTGAGCTTCGTCAAGTTTCCCATAATCGCATTAAGTAGAGTACTTTTTCCTGAGCCGACTGCGCCTACTACAGCAAGCAATTGACCTCTCTTGACCGCTATATTGATATCACGCAGGACAAACTGCTTTTCGCCTTTCCCGAGTGCTTGCCAAGATAATATCGAACAAAAGCAGAGATTAATCATCGCTACCGATACCATCGTGTTACTTGACATGAAGGATTCGTTATTATTACAGAACAGCACTTGGGAAGCACATCTGCATATTTACGTAAGCTTCATCTTCTGTGTGCGTTTTTCATTCTAGTAAAAACGCTCTGGGGTTTTTTTTCTTTGGTGAGGTTGACACTAGCACAGACCTTTTTATTTGTTCCTCATTGGCTTTTTTTGTACGATTCCTGTACGAAATCTATTCTGTTTGACTGCTTATCTATGCTATTCGGATGTTGTCACCTCAATTTTATAGGTTAGCCAGTTGTAACTCCGGTGAACATCGGCGCTTTAGTTCGAGACAATGCGCCAATTCAATTTTGCTCTATAATTAATCCTGGTCTCCTTTAATTAATTAAGGAGACCAGGAACTAGCAGCCATGTCCTATTTCTATTCGAGCAAATCAAGGACAAAGCACTTATCTGAGACAAGATTCACTTACACCTGGTCCATGCAAACGTTCCATTCTCTACTAGCAGCGTTGTGGCATTACGATCAGCGGAGCCTGTTTCTACGATACGAATAACGTACGGATCAATCTCATCGGAATTGAGATATGCATTCATCCTACGAACGCTTATGCGACTCTGGTATATCGTAGTGAAGATCTGTGGTACCATTGCTGTTTGTGGTGAACAGAGTATTACAAGTTATCATCATTTAACTTTTGAAAACTGCGTAATGTAGATCCGACACAGTTGGCAGTAATCCGCTTCGCAACTGTTTTATATAGACGAATGTACCTGATCCATTATACCAGAATGAATAAACTAACGAGCTGCGCCTGTTTTCGAAGTAACAGCTCGATAATGAATCTTTGTAATGCTATAATACTTGCCGATGGACATCCCCAACTCAGCGATGATCTGGGATCCGATGAATGCGATATCGGAATCCATTCCTTTGTTATCGTTGACAAGAACATAACAATAGAAAGCTGCCATTGTCATAAACACTGGTGCTAATCGCCATTGAATTATCAGTAGAGCCATGGCTGACTGAACCTTACGGATCATTTTCACCTCCTTTACTCGGATCATTTGTATAATGTCACGGAAACCTAACTCCCATCCATAAAGCTTCAGGACCCTCATACCACCGACAAGTTCGTTCATTATCTGGAAGCGATCGTCTCTCAACTTCGCCATGGCCATCTGCGTTAAATATCATACAGTATTTTGTATTAGTGATCCTAATACGATACGAATAAATTGAAATCGACTTTGTGTCACAGAAAAAAAAAGTTACCTTACCTGATGTTTGGTCACGACTGTGATTATCCAGAAATTTATAGGCGTCAGTAAGATCGTGAAGACAATTGGAGCAAACAACGACCACTGAATAATTGTGTAGAGATACACTATATTGAGTGAAATCTTTATAACAGCTGAAACAACCGCGTTGCCAATCATCACCAGCTCTTTGTGCCTAGATGAATCTTCTACCATTAAATTAATGAGCTCACCGCTCGACGTCTTTGAAGTGCTTGCTAAGACCAAGGCTTTCCTATGAGACGGACAGACACCAAGCATAGTCGACAATGGATCTTTAGCTAAATGGCTGATTTTGGTCTGCTGAGTTGTAATGTATCTTCCATCGATGGTTCATACCACATACAAAAGAAAAAATGAAAATTTGTATTTCTAATATATATATATATATATATGCTCAATAAACAACATGTAGAATAAGGGCTATCGCGGAATAAATCAACGGAGTCGTAGTAAAGCATCGAACGCCTTCGATTCGAGAGCTGCAAGAGTCACTTTTGAATACGCTAGTTGTATATACAACGATTTTTTTAAGGTTACGATTAAAGGTTCTTAAGGACAACAACAGTAACGTGCAGTGGTATATATACAAAAAACATATTGAACAAGGCGGTTTTGAACGCTGCACTGTCACAGCTGGGCTTTTACTTCGATTGAAGAAACCCATTTTGTAGTAGTCAAATACGCTATTATGATGCCACGAATAGAATTTCATAAACGGTTTCCATTGACCAGCCATTGAAAGCTTGCTTTTAGGAAACAACCTTATCGTAAGAAGAAAAAAAAATTGAATCTGCGTTAATTTGAAGCGAGCATATTGATTAGTAAATGAAATATGCCCACCTGTAAACAGCCGACATCAAAGCTGTGTGTACCCGAATGGCAATGCTTTGCATATGGTAAATGTAGTAGGAAGAACCTATTGCCTGACCAGAGACCAGAATGAATGAAATTGCCCCGTAAAACACGAACTTCCACTGTTTTTCGAATTGGCTTCCGGTGGTCGTAGTGTTCTGCAAGTTGATCATAGCTTGGAATATAGCAATTCGTGCAAATTGAAGTAGATCGTTCACGGCACTCATCAGCAAGCCCTGTAAAATTTCGATGTTGAATGTTCTCCAAAGAGCTCCAACAACATTCCGCTTGCTCCTTGCGATCCTGTCGGAAAAGGCCGGTTAGAAAAATAGGCACCTACAGGCGTTGGACTCAAAAAGGACACGCGCCAGCCTGTCATAACTACCTATAAAGTTCTGTGTTTGAACTGCTGGAACGTGGGAAGAACAGCACATAGGAATTTCATTATTTTACCAATGACATTTATCTGCCACTAAATAGAAATTTTTTTTTACAAATACACATGCACTTTTCGTTCCTGCATAATTGTACGCATGACAGGACAAGCTATAGGTCTCATGGGCTGTAAAGAGGCTTATGTCGTTACTACAGTTTGGCTACTAAAACGCGCTCTGAGCTGCAGACAAAATAGGGATGCGCTAATCGTGGACTCCAATATTCTAGATGAACATTAAGGTTATTTTCATACTGGAGCAGTAAATTCCTGATTATAATAATACATTGCTACGTAATGATACTACAGTGAAGAGCACGATCCAGGTATCTGTTTGTTAGAGGGCCTCGTAATCAAGCCTCATCTGACGTAAGAGTATAGAATATACTTCATGCTTGCTTGAGTAAAATCCAGCTTTGAGTATAATCCTACATTCATTAATCATGAATAATTTCATCACAAAACGATTACATACGGCTTTCCAGGTTCCTTCTGTATAAAGCGCCGGTTGAGTTCTTGAAAAGCGTTCTCACATAGAAGTTCGTTGTCAGTGGTCGGAAGGTCATCAATTTCAAGACTTTCGTTTAACGCCCGGTACATAAGAGGTGTGACCCATGAGAACAACAGTTGCGATGGAAACGACGCCACCTTGTCCGGCCTTCTCATCGAAAGCTAAGATCCAGCAAGAAAGAGGTTAAGTTATCTGACACGCACGATACCACGAATGAGGCATGCCTTTGGAAGATATATATATCTTTATATTTTTTATATTTAATATAGAATTAAATAAGAAATTTTCCAGACTTTAAGTGACACTAACTAAGCATTGTTTAGTCGTAGTAAGCTTAGTAATACACTGAAGTATAGCAGTGTTGCTATAAGCCGGAACCGGGGCAAATCAGTTCTAACCTAATGTTTCTATCGATACAGGACCCCTACTCGTTTAGGTAGCAGAAATATATTTACCCGATCTTTGATAACTGTCTCTTCGACCCGAATCGGCGGAGGATCCGCAAAGCTGAAGAGTACCACGTTAGCAATGACCAGATAAAACTGGGTCGTAAGGCAAATTACAAACATGGCCAGCACCGCACTGTTACTACTGAATATCTTGGGACCGTACTGCAGGAAAGTCATACGTTATCTTAGCAAGCTCAAAACGCAATACAGAACAGGTTAATTACTGACGCACTCAAATAATATAGCACATTATAAACAAACGGCTCTGTTCATTTTTTAACTGACAATGGCGTTGTTTGACAAGGGGCACTTTCAGTGAGAAAGCTTTATTTTTTCTTCATTACATGCATTATTATATTTTGTAATGCTCCACAGTAGCGTACTTCACACGACACATTGGTACATACAATTTCTTTTTTAAAAATCGTGTAAAAATTGCCCCGTCCAAATTGCTTAAATCTGTCTCTGTAATGTAAATTCTCTATAGCGTATCGAACCTACATGTCTGTCGCCATTAAACTAAGAAAAAACGGACAAGTGCACCTCGTAGCTGATGCTTCATTCTCCCGCACACGACCTACGCTTTTCTAGATCATTTGTTTTGTCTACAGGTACGGAAATACCTGCATCGAGCATAATTCGACTTGGGTTCAATGAACAAATCGGAATCAGCACGATCTTTGATTGATCTAAGCTGATTTCTACTTACAGTAAAAAGGTAACCAGTATCGGAAGATCTAAGGATTGTCTGGTAGGTGAAGCAGCCAGAGACGAACGTAAAGAACCAAAAGAGCCAAACTGGTCCTCCTGAATTACGTCGGCCGATTTTCTTACTAGCCATCATGAGAAGAAATACTAAAAGCTGTAACGTTTGAAAGACACATCATATCATTGCGTGCATACGAGAAATATGCAACTTCGTGCATTGTTTCCATATAATTTGAAGCCTCTTTTGAAACACACAATAATATTCTAAGTAGTTTCACGAGCCATAGCCTTTAGGTCGATAGATGTCAAAGCAATCGTCTTCTGCTAATAGATATCATAAACTTTTGTGTTACGTGCTTGACGACTTCTCTAACTTCATGAGGCAAATCGTATGGAAGGATTCATTGGTACCACTCGATTTTTTCACACATAATATGCAAAATATAAGATCTGAAGTAATGAAAACGAATAGTATAGAAGCATCTGAACGAAATCGTTCAGACTTCATCACTCACAACAGCTATCGCTTTCACGAAAGGTGTCACGACGTATACGAGTGGCAATGGCTGGCCAGTGTCCAACTGTATCATCATGAACAGGAATTCGAAAAGGCTTACAACAAACACTGCACCGCTTATTATCTGAAACAAGAGTATGGATATTTATAATTACTTCCTGGAACGTTCTCGTAAAATCCAATCCTGAGTTACATCTGAACATTGAATATCAGATAGTCATATGTTGTATTTTAAAGCTCGTCGTCATGCGTTGGATAGATGCGTCCTTGTATTGCATCGACTCAGCAAAGCCATTTCCTGCCTCATTTTTCAAGCTTATCGCTATAGGAATAATACTACTAGGAACGCAGGGATAATATTCTCTTGGAAACGTGAAAATATCCAGTGTACCTTGCACTATGTACATTTCTAATTAATAGGGAATGATTTATTTAGCTAAACATTAGTTTTAACGCTCAATTACGGTATATTCATTTATTTAAAGACTATTAAAGAAAATAACCCTACCGTTCGGCCTAGGCCAAACCAAGTCCATGGAGTATTGGTGACGAAATGAAGTCGCGGCTGGGACCTCAACATTACAAATTCCTTCGGTGCCGTAATCCATATAAAAATAATTGGAAGCCACGCAACTACCGTTTGTTGAAAGCATATGGGGAGATCTGGTGATGTGTCGTTAGTCCGCCATGATAGCGAAACTACCTAAAATTACACGACTATATTACAACAATCGCAATAGATAATGTAACGTTATTTAACCGACCCTCAGCCTGGACTACCTCACAGGCTGCGGAGTCTTTTCGACGTCAGTACTACGCAAGCCGAGAGATGCGCGCGCTTGGCCCCGTAGGCACAAAACTTCCGCGCTTTCCTCTAGTATTGTGGACCCAACATGACCTTTTTTCTTTTATAGAAAACATTTTCCATCTTCAAACTGGGTCCCAGTTCACAGTCTGGTGTGTCAGGCGCCATTTCCACTGTGTACATAGGGTGTGGTAAAAATCCTCGACAAAAACTTCCGACAAATGGATATACGTGAATTCGGCTAGCTCCGAAATTCCTTAAAGGAAATAAACGATTATACAGCTTCTAAAAGTTTCTAGCTACAATCTAGAATGGCAGCTTTGTAAATCATATAAATGATGTAAATCACAAATACTAATAATTAGTAACAACCCATTTTTTAAAACGTAGAAAGCGGCACTGGCGTTTTTCGCTATCGGTGGGTAGCACCGTTTTAAAGTGAAGCAGTTGTTGAAATTCAAACCACGTGTAGTTTCAACTCCAGTTTCAGAACCCCCTAAAACTGATCATTCATCTCAATCCCCACGTTAAATTACATATACATACAAGTACATACAGACCGAAAAGATAACTCACCCAGAAGGGAGATCCGCAAAAGTCATCCATAGTGGCCTGTTGATTTAATAAACATAGAGAGCTTGCAGCAATTAGAGGCCGGACCTTATTACCACATAAAAAATTATTTGCCAGAGTGACTGAGCCGTTACTCTACTGATCAAGTTTTTATTTTTATTACAAAAACGATTTCGCGAGGTAAAGGTTTCTTTTGTTTCTTTGCTGGTATCTCGCCGGGCCGGAAATAATTCTGCGTGTAATTAATATCGTTATAGGATTCCATGTAAAATGTTTTGCATGTAACTACCAAGGACATAATGAATTTTCCAAACTTAATAAAAGTTTGGAAAGTTGGAAAGTTTGGTTGCGGAATCATTGTGCCGGTTTTTTCTACCTACGAACAAATGATACTTCTGCCTTAGACTGCTAGCAGTTGCTACGCAATCCTCAACTCGATACGATTGATAACAAACGGCATACAAATCTATTTCTTTAGTTGTATCTTTAGCAACAATCGGTTATCCCAACTGAAATTAACGACAACCAAAAATCGTCAAATACACAAAGCTCAAGGTAGAGTTTGTTCCAGCAATTCAAGATGGGCTCTTGTAGAGATCTGAAAAGACTGGATCATATCGCTAGACACCGGGAATCCTCCATAGGAAATGAAAGCTTCCTCATTCTTTACGAGGGAAACAAACGTAAAAAACAAAAGCTAGGTATTAGGTTATAATGAAAACGTACTCTTACCATTCGATTCGAATACGTTCAATTTGTTTGCTTCGTTGTAGACGTTGTACAACAGCAATTTGAGGAAATACCAGCAAACACACATCAGAATGACCTCGCGACCGTTTACGAAAATAAACTATTTGCCTTTTTAAGGTTTTACCCAAAGATACTACGATATCAGCTTGTGTTTTTGCTAATTCAGTTTCTGCTCGTCTCCAGCTTCGTCGATAGAACGGGTATCACTCTTCAGACAGGAGTTTTAGTTTTTTTTAGCACAGCGGAGGCGATAGCACTGCGACGTGTGGAAATCATTTACCCTTCGGAGAGAAAAAGTTACCACCCATTAATTAATATCTTTTATAGAATTAGGCACGAAATAATAGCAGATCAATACGGAGAAGGGGGAACTCAGCAAGGATATCCATAAATCCGGAGCGGAAGAGTAAAGAACGCTTAGACGGTGTGTAGTAGGATGATGCCGGTCGATCGAAAACTCTCAAGATATCGTGCGCATTTATACTCATAGGTCTATATGAGCACTGCGTACAACCAAAAAAAACCTCTACTATTTGTGTAGAAACATGTACTCTCGGAAGGAAAAGGGAAGTAGTCAGGTCAGAAAATTTTAGCTAAAGTTACTTTTCTAATGGTTTACAAATTAGATTCGCCAAAAAATCTGATGCAGACTGCTTAATACAGTGCAGATAAAGGGTTTGTGCTTTAATGGTACACTTAAGACCGTGTGTTTCGCAAACAGATGGACCCTAGCATCGTTGGAAGTTCCGACAAAGGTAGGTAACGAATTATAGGTTTAGTCGTAGGAAACTAGGTTTAAAGGAGCGAGTTTCAGTAGGGCCATTAGATCAGACACATACACACTGTTGTCACAAAATGTAGTCGAGTATACGATCAGATGTACGCAGATCATATAAGTAAATGGTCGAACGGCCATTTTAATTAAATTAATTACTAATGGCTAACCGCTGGAGAAATTATGAAGTGACCAATACGAGCGACATAAATAATGAACCGCAAGTCACGTCTAAGCAGGATTTTTTGGTGGTCCTTCATGACCGAACTTACCTTGTGTCGGGAGCACAATGGACAACGTATTTTATGAAACGAGCGGCACGGATTTTCTGTCTGAGAAATAAGCATTCGATGGAGTAAAGCGATGCTATACGGAATTTATCACTACAACTACTTGTTAAGTAAATTAATTCCTAAGAACCATTGAAATCTATCCAAATTTGGTTTAATGAAACTTCACGTTTGCGAAAATCGGCCCCGACATTCAGTGATGTCGATGTCCAAAGCAGGGTTAAAATCTATAAATGATCCGATGCTGGTCAGCAAACTTGAAAGGTATTAACTATGTCATTATTACACGTTCTTCTTGTAATCGCAAAAAACGTATGGGCAGCAACCCTATACTTAAGTATGGCCAACTTTGGGAAATAGGCTTTAGGACATTCCAGGTTCACAAGATAAAACGATATGCAAAAGGAAAGTCTGTTTTTTTTTTTTTTTTTTAATTTATTAATTTGACCAATACAGAAAAATAATATTCGTTTCAATAAATTCAAATGTCTAAGTATGAGCAGGTTGTCCTTAAAGCGCTGCCGTTATGGTCGATGCTCACTAGATAATCAAACAGAATCAAGTCAGGGTGGTAGACGGCTACGGAACTATCGCACCGTTTACAGAGGAAGACTCTCGTAAAGAGAAGCATGATTTTTACCGTGTCTGCGCTTTAAAGAAGTACAAAAATGATCGACAAGTTTAGTCTATATAAATGCTGAAGTTCTCGAGGTATTTAAGTGCAACTTCAGTATCCAAAGACCCGCTTGGCTTCTTGCTTCTCGCTTGTTTTAAAAGAAACAGGTTAACACAAATAGGTTAGTTTCCTTTGCCACTTCTGCTCCGGTTCTGAAGACTTTTCAGTGTATCAAATCATACCAGACGGCCACCAATAAAGATCTCTACTCGGAAACGGAATCAACACGAGAAAGAGCAAAATATACACAAATTGGTCTTCTCGTCTATATTTCATTTGTGTACAAAGTATCCAATCTACAGCTGGCTGGCTGGCTGGCTGGCTCGCTTTTTTGCTAGCGACTTCGCGGTCCGAACTAGCACTAGGAGACGAGATACATTGTTGGACCCTAAATACTGTCCTAAAGTCACTCGCATCACAGAAAAGGGACGTCGCATCCCGCAGCCTAGAATCAGCCCTATCGATAAGCTTTTAGATTTGCGCCTTGACGAAAAAAATATATATATATATAAGAGCATATAATAGTAAGCCATAGCCGTGTCCACGTTGTTTTTCTTGTTGGGCGATATGTCAAATCAATATTTATATTCATCCCTTCCATTAGGGTGTGACTATGCCAGCCTCCAGACTTCATAAGCCATTAACATCACCAACGACAACATCATATTGATAATTAGTTTTTTTTAAATAAATCTACGCATTTTATTTTTGTAGTCCAACTTTATTGAATCGACTATTGTTGCTCTGTTTTCATGATGGCTCTGCTTTACTTGCTCTGGACCCCTTTGTGGAGGTGAATTCCCCCCAATTCTGTCTGCCTATAATAAAATTGTGCTTTTCTTCCTTGCGCTTTTTCACGCTACATATAACTTGATCGGAACAGATCGAAGAGCAGCAGACACCCACGACCCCCTTAAATAGCACCGACACTAACGGCAACTGTCGTTCCTTAGCCAGCTTGCGATTTGCTCAGTCTGAGGGCGCAAGAAACAAGAAACAGCAACAAGAAACAGCACAAGTGGGTAACAAGGTGGTCTTCAACTAAGATGGCATTGCTGGGAAGTTAAGTGCAAAACTACTATAGGTCGACTGCCCACGCTCCGAAATTTACTTACTCTCTGGGGATCTATGAAAATACCGAGATAGATAAGTGCTTTTGCGGTGGACAGTCTGGTATAATTAAGAGAATTATATTTAGAAAGTAGGACACACTCCATTGAAGATGCCAAATAAATTAATCTACGATAGCTGTCCTAAAAAAACGTATTGATCTTTATCTTCCATTTAAGCATCTGTGGGTATTTGACGCGAATGGCTGAGCCATTAAGCTATACACTACCTATCGTAGTCAATGCTGATGCGCAGTGATTAAGATTGTATTCTTCGGATTATCTTCTAAATAAGTTTAGGTCAGTAGCGCCCGATTCCTCATCCATGACTAGAATGCCTAGCGGATAAGACACAACAGCTGCGACAGCCCCATTTACTTAGCCTTTCGCTATTAGAAAGCTGAAGCCTTGCAGGTTCTTGCCAGACGTCAATTTATGATATGCCAGTCGATTGGTTTACGTAGTAGGCAACGTGTTTCTGGTCGTCGAGTGAGATTTTCCTAGACAACCTAGCGGACTCGAATGAGTGGCCCCCGGGCCTTGGCCTCCCAAAGGTATTGTCGATTAGATGGCTGAGCTAGCACTGCGATGTTATCTATTATATATTTGTCAATTTTAAAACTGTCCTCAGGGTGATTTGATTCAATTACAAAGTGAACAGAGTAGGCAAAACTCGTTGCCAAACGAAACGGGTCTAGGGATATTAAATACCAGTTTAGAAACATTAGTTTAAAAATTCCAACGTCCATCCCATTTTGTTTCTCGTATTCTACTATATCGTAATTTAAGTAAATATTAGTAAGGCAAATTTGTAAGGAGAAGTCAATGCACTGTTATGCCTCTTATCTGCTATACAAATACGTTTTCCTCGGTACAGATTCCTGTTTATCCGTTTTTGAGCGGAGCAGCTTTCATAATGTGGCGAAATTTTGTTTTATTATGCCTCGCATCGTATACGAATATCCTTTAAAGAGGTTTGTATGTTCAGCGTGTAATTACTTGATCTTGTAGATATGTCATAGTATTTTGCACTGTAGAAACGTCTCGTCTGTCTCGTCTCGTCTCGTCTTGAATAAACAATGGGGTGCTGAAAAAAATGCAGGACCACATACGCGTGATACGAGGCAATCTTTACACATCTAAACATCCACATTGATCGGGTCGTAGCAAGAATTCTCTTCTACGGTTAAACCACTTTCCGCTTTAGGTGCAGGTTTATATATTCGGTCCTGTACTCGAGAAAGCTAGTGACTGACTCAACACGTGGACCGAAGACATCATCAACCCCTTTTCCTCGACAAGAATATAAGCTCCGTTGAAAGATGATCTTACACTCTCTCGCACCCAAATCGTTGAAAAGAGCTTGAGAAGCATATGGTTTACTCCTAAGTGCTTTTCATGTAACTGATTAAGTAATCGCGTTACTATTATTATAGAAGCAATCTGCTAAATGGTTACTCTAAAGGTAGGATGGGCTCGAATGCTCTCCCAGAACGCGTGACGTAACTCCGCTCTTACTTCTTTTTCTGGAGTCGCTAACAAAAAGCCGTATGGGCACAATCTACGGACGATGGACAAACTGGAGGAAAATATTCGTGGCACCAGTTGTTGTGTGGCACCAGAATCAGTTGTACGAGAAAAAACAGCCAAAAACTGCCAGCCAAAAGACTCTACTCGGTAGAGTTGATATTGTATTGAAAGTAACCCTAATGTAAAAGTTCTCCCGTAATGCCAGCTATATGTAAATACATGCCGTCGTTTTTGTCAGATCCTTTCCAATCAGACGACCATCCCATTACACAAATGGTAGAAGACCATCCTTCTAACCTACACGTGCGTCTGTGTCTGGTTTGCGGTACCAATTCACATGGTCGATCATCGTAAACTTAAAGGCTACTTTAGATGAGATGGAAAGTTATTCTCAACAAATACCTAACCGGATACAGAGAGTAAAAGCCATTGTTGGGCGAGCACCGATTCATGTTTGTGAAGTTGCATGTTGCAGTAAAGTCTCATTTTGCCGTAACTAAATTAATTAATCCGTCCATTCTACACCATTCAATATATGCTAAACACAGCGACGGTGCATATCATCAAAATCCAATATGATAAAATCTACTTCGCAAAAACTTCCGGAGTTAAACCTATCGAAGCAGTTTATCAGGGTTCGCCCTAGATAGCAATAAATATACGTCTCTGAGGAACCAGGTAAAAATATTAACTGGCCAGATCCTACTATAAGACACTGATGCTTCAACTAGTTCTAAGAACTATTTTGTGCCAATTACTTAACTGATTGGCAATATAGTGCATACAAGCTAATAAGAATTTACTACACCTTCACAAACTTGATAATCACCGTTTAAACCAGA